ATGGGGACAATCACCTCCCTCTCCCTGCTGGTCACCCCTTTTGCAATGCAGCCCAGAACAGAGGCTTCATTTTTTATACAAATCCACATACCCACGCCTACAGTCCCCCCACAATGCACTACAGCTTCATATTCCTTCCTCCCTACAGCTCCCAACAGCCCCCAATAGTCCCCTATGACCCTATGGCCCACCACAGCCCCCTATCTCCCTATACACCACCCTTAGAGCCCCGTATCTGACTCTCACCCCCAACAGCTCCCCATAACCCCTACATCCCCTCACAGGCGCCTACAGCCTCACATCTCGCTATATCCCTCCCCCCCTCCCCCCCCCCCCCCCCCCCCATCGCCCCCCCCATCGCCTCCCCGCAGCTTCCTAGAGCCCCCACAGCCCCTCTCCCCGCCCCGGCACCGCTCTCCCGCTCACCTCCGGCACAGCTGTCCTCAGCACTCGCTCCCGAGCTGCCGCGGCTTCTCTCTCGGTGCCGCCCGGACAGCTCCGGCTGCCGCCGCGGTCTCCTACGGGGCGGCACAGGCGGCTGCAGCGGCGCTCTGCGAGGAGAGCCGCGCCTCCAACAGCCGGCCCCCAACGTTCGCTCCCGCGCACGGCGCCTCAGCCAATGGCAGCCGGCGGCGCTGCCGCGGACCGACGAGAGCCCGGGGGTGGAGCGGCGCTGCCGCGGACCAATGACAGACCGGGGGGCGGGGCGGCTGCTGGTCAGGGTGAGCTCCTCGTGCCTCAGCGCGGTGCTGGCAGATGTGGAGATGATCTGCATGGCCAGCTTGTAAGTGGGAGCCAGGAGCCAACGCAGCTGCAGGAGCAAGGTGCTAGGGAGCAGCCAAGGTGTCAAAACGCATCCAAAAGCCCTGGAAAGCATCACAAAGCCACAGCCAGGAAGCTTGCGTGATATGGTTTAGTGCTAGTGGTGGCAATGGTGATGAGGAGACGGTTGGACTGGATGATCTTAGAGGTCGTTTCCAACCTTGTGTGATTCTTGATTCTTGGGATTATCATTAGCCATATCCAGAATGCTAGAGATTGTCAGCTGCCACACCAAATCGTAGGCAGAGCTCTCGCTGCAGACAAAGCAGCGAACAAACGAGAAGCTCTGCTGCACGCACTCCACAGCCATCACGTTGCAAGCTGAGGTGCCTTACTGTGTGTTGCATTCATCCCAGTCTCCTTGAATGAAGACTCCACAGGCACTCAAGGTGTTGAGTGAGTATAAGTGTGCTTTTATTAGTAAAGGAAAAGACAGGAGGGCGTGAGAGGTCCAGGTAAAGATGGAAATCGTCCTCTCTTGGCTGGAAAGCTCATGGACAGAGTGGCTCAGCGCTGTCAGTGTTGACGTCCGGTGCCTGGGACTGGAGGCCTGATTCTAAGCCCCCCTCCAAAAGGCTCTGCTGCTCCTCGCTGATGCTGACCTTCTCCTCAAAGGCGGTGCTGCTGTCGGAGCACTCGGGCTCTGCTTGGGCTGGGCTGCACTGCAGAGGCACCGGGTCACAGTCCAGGCTGATGCCTGTGGTGTCTGGCAGGCTCAGGTCAGCATCTTCAGCACAGCCGGGAGAAATGAGGGCTTCAACTTGGATGAGCTCCTCGTGTCCATCACTGTTGTTATGCGGCAGGCTGTCAGCTGAACCGCAGCCATTTGTGCTTCCCAAGAGCTCTCCATTGGTGGAAGCACACAGCCCAGCATTGCTACTTGTTCTGGCACATCTGGGTTGACAAGAGCTCGAATCACCTATAAAAGAATGAACAGGGGTTGGTGTCCAACTCTCACAAGCTGAATTACAAACGTGGTTCTTGATCAGGGGAGATCTGAAGGTGTCAGGTATGGGCTGGATAGCTAGAAGGAGATACAAGCCCACTGCCAGCAAGAATTCTACGTTGCTGAGAAGCAGGGTGTTGAAAGCTGGATTTGCACCCTTACCTGCCAGAACTACAACGTCTGTCTCTGAGGGCTCCCTGGGATGGTGCTGCCGTTGGTCTTTGGCCACAGAGGATGGTTTCCCCAGGCTGAAGCAGGAACAGCAACAGCCAGATGGTGATTCCTTCATCCTGCTGGGTGCACTTGGTCTGGAGAGAGGAAACAGGGAATGGTGTGAGTTGTGCGTGGAACTCCAAAAGCATCTCTGACTCTGACAGCTCATCGGCCCCATCTCACTGCCATGTCTAGTTTCTCGTGCCAGCAGGTCTGACAAACAGCTCTGCTTCGAGGAGAATCGGAATTGGATTCAGGCACGTGGCCCTGAAGTCCGGAAAACCCCAACGTTTCCAGGTACAGCCAGCACAGGCCAGGACAGACGTCAGCGTGGCTTCATGCAGCTCGTGACTGCCTGCCCAGCAAGGAGGGAATGCCAGCCTTGTGTGGCTAAACTCGGCCCGGCGGGCAACTGAATGTGAGTTCTGTCTCACAGTGCAAAGGGAGTGGAGATTCACTGCAACACTTCAGGCACCATCAGTTTAACTGAGTTTCAGCAAGCTTTGGCTCTAGAAATAATGGGGGGGGAAAACAACACAAAAAGAAACCACAAAAACCCACCCAAACAATGATGAGAAGGTACTGGAAAAGGAAGTCCTCTTTACCTTTCAGATGGAAAGTCGATGATGGTGTGGAATTTGCCCCGTACAGCTTTGGGGCCTTCTTCCACCTCTATGTCCCTGCTCTCTGTCACAGCAACAGGAGAGCTGCTGTGGCCTCGCCTCCGTGCCTGCGCCTCCTCCAGGCTGAGCAGCTCTGTGGCAGGAGAAGACGCCTGCACAGACTGGGGCCCTGAGAGAGAACTGTGCCCTGGAAGGGAAAACCACAGGTGAGAGCCAGGATCAGAAAGCGGCAGCACAGCCATCGCAGGTCCGGGAGCTGCTGTGTTTTCCTCAGACTTGCTTATCCGAGCCACTGGAAGAAGAGCAGCTCAAAACAACCATGTGCTCAGAGGTGTGTCTATGGCAAAGGATGCAGTCATAATTAGGAGCAGCTCCCTGTATCGAAACAGGCAAACACAATCCCTAGAAAATGGGGGCAGGGAACTGAGAAAGCTTCGCTGCCACACTTTCACCAAGCTTCACCAGATTTCTCCTTGTCACGTTTGGGCTTGCACATTCTCAGCATCCAGCAACTGGACGCCAGATTCCAATCTAAGCCCAGAAGTCTGCTGTTCCCTCGACAGGAAAAGTGTATTTCAAAGGACTTGGAGAAGGCCTGCATTTGATCCAGGTGTCTGACCAAGATGAAGCTAATGGAGGAAGACACTCACCTGCTCCATCTGCGATGTCAGGTCCAGATGTGGAGCAGAAGAGGACGTCTGTGTGGTCGATGATGAATTCCACCACAGCCGACTGCGTCTGCAGTTCCGTGCAGGCAGCTCTCCCGCTGGCGCAGGCAGACTCGCTCTGCTGTGATCTGTAGAAAAGGCAGGTTTTAGAAGTCATTCAGCCAAGATCGCTTCCCCAGGTCTGAATTACTGCAGCCCAAAGCTGTCACATTTGTTCTCTGGAGACTTCCGCAGTAGGCAATCAGTGATGCCACTGAAAAAGTTCTCCTGGCTGATCAAGGACACACCAGTCCCATCTAAACAAGAGAGCAGCAATGCTCAGCTAGAAATTGTGCCCACGCGGGGTTGGAGAACAGTCCAGGCTCCTGCTCTGCTGTCAGCCACTCACTGCACATTTTACAGGAGAAGAGCACATGTGGTGCAGAAGAAGGGAGGACTGCTTTATTCTACTGGAGAACAGATGTAAGCGTTCTGTTGAAACGGAAAAAGAAGTTTACCTTAGGAGGTTTGGAGCCCACACAATGGCTAAGTTCTTAGCAGTGCATGTTGGTGACAGAGCTGTTTGCAGCAAGACAGGCCAAGTGTCTCATCAGGAACACCAGGGTCCTGGGAAACAAGAGAGGCAAATGTTCAGCACCAGCCAGCATGCCGTGCTGCCACTCACAAAGCAAACCTCAATTCACACTAGTTGTTATTACTGCTACTGATGCTGAAGATGAAGTAGACCCAACTTGACCAAGTGCCACGCTGCAGCACCCAGCACCAGCACAGCACAGCCACAGCCATCAGCTGCACCAAGCCTACCCCCGTGCCCAGGAACTGACCCAATAAATTAACCCTGTAAATTAAACCGGTGCAGCCTTCAACCGCTTCAACATACCCAGGCATCGTGTTGCTCACGTGAGACAAAGCCTGGAATCGCACCAATGCCCTCTGAAGTGCAGCAGGGCTGAGCTCAGCAGGCTGAGGGCAGCACTGACCTGTAGTGAGGAGCGGGCAGCTGCTGGATGACGTCCCGCATTCTGACCAGCCGCTCCTCCTCCGTAGTGGCACCAACAGCATCCTGGAAAAGGGCAGAAAGGGATTGAGACACAAATCAGGCGAGATACCTGCCGCAGGGTCGGGAACCATGGGCACAGCGCGCTGCTGGTCAGCACTGAGAAAGATTTTAGGCCTCCCCAGAGGCATCTGGCAAACATAGCGGCACGCAGCTGGTGCCACCAAGGCCAAGGAGTCCAAGCACCGGGCCGGTTTACAGCCTGGTTGGGCAGCTCAGCTCCTCGCAGGGGGCATTCATCTCCAAGTACGCTTGGCTATTAATCCCCTTCCTGTTCCAGAAATAGCTGGGGAATAGCAAAGAACAAACATACAAACAAACAACACAGGAATTCTCGCAAGCACTGTGAATATGGAAATAACCACCTCCTGGGGCCACCAGAAGCGGCATCAGCACGATGCAGGATGTGGCAAAGACATGCGAGTAAACCCCATGGGGCTAACAGAAGAAGGGCCTCAGAGCTGGGGCACTGCTGCAGCCATCTCCCAAGAGGCCCAGCGAAGAGGGAAAGGAAAGGCGTTGCCTCGTGCTTACCGAGAACTTGTCGTACAGCTGGTCGGTCAGCAGGGGGGTCGGGAGCTCCCTGAAGTACATTTTGCAGAGGGAGCTCGCGCTGTGAACGTCGCGGACGGTTAGCTCAGGAACCTGCTCACACTCAAATTCCTGGCTGCAGAGAAGGACACGAAAGCGGTTGAGAAAGAGGAAAGCAAGTCAAAAGCCACACCCAATGCAATCAAGAGTTGGAAGGGCTTCCTGATGTACAGGAGAACACAAACACTCGGCCACCAGCACCACGTCAGCCGTGCTGGATGGGATGTTCCCAAAGGAGACCTTTTCTCTGTGCTAAGGCATTGCCCGCAGGCCTCTGAACGCCCGCAACAGGGCACGTGCCCCTGCTGGCAGCTGTGTCTGTCAGTCGCAGCACTCTTACCGCAGTCTCTGGACGTTGGACGCCACGCCGGACAGGCGGTATATCCCCTGCACCACGCCATGCTGCTCGATGAACTCGGCGCAGCTCTGGAGGACCTGGGGGACTAAAGAACACGTGCCGGCGGTTACTGGAGCTCCTTAGTCAAGTCCTGCCTCAGGCTGCGCTCCCGTCACATCCCATCCACTAAGCCCAGCCGGGCTTGGCTGAAGCAAATACAAACGTGCTTGTCTCTTGGGAGCATTAGCCTCACTTCATCTTTCAGCCATCAACTCCCATTCCCCGTTTCTCCACTGGTATCAACCTGCCCCTTGCTACATACCATCTCCCTTTCATCGTTAGGTTCTCAAACAGGGAAGCTCTCAGGAATGGGCTGTCCCTTACCATCACGACCAGAGTGAAGAAGATGCTCTCCCAGGTCACGGCCGAACACCCTCTCCTTCTCCACCTCCTGCTCTTTCCGTTGCTTTGGGCGGGCCTTCACCACGGAACGAAGGAAGGTGAGGAGCTTGCCGCGCTTCTTTGGCACTGCACAACAAAAGGAAGAAACCAGTTCATCTCAGGTTTGGCTCCGTTGGACGAGGCCGAGCACAACACCTTCTACAGAGCACCTCAAAACGGGAAGAACATGATGAGCAAGTGCGTACCAAAATGGATTTTCCCCAACCCTGGATGAGTCCAAGGCCAGACTGGATGGGGCCCTGGGCAGCCTGGTCCAGTCCCACTTTAAACGTGGAGCTTGGTTGGCAGCCCAGCTTGAGGCAAGGGGGCTTGGAGCTTGATGATCCTCGAGCTCCCTTCCATGCCAAGCCATTCTACAAGGATTCTAGGATTTCCCCAACTCCAGTCATAAAACACAGCAGGACTGGGCCAAATCTCTGCACGTTCTGATGGAGTTGAATGCACTCCTCTTGCTTAGCTTGCTCAACCTGGGCATTAAGGACCCTCTTGAAAAGCCACGTTCTGATCAAGCGTGTCACTAGCACAACCAGACCTCTATCTGTCCACCAGGGACGCTGGCTGTTCTCAGCCTCGTACGGACTTGCCGGAGAACTGCCTTGGCCTTCCCTCATTCTCACTGCCTACAAAACACCAGCCATACGCCCCGTGCTATGCAGGAAGGATTATCAGCACAGAGGATAAGGGGGGAAGGATAAGGGAGGTATTAAACATGGAACACACCCAAAAAAGACTCCATTTTGCTTCCCTGCACCATCAAATGTCTCATCGTACCTGGCTTTGGCACTGAATTGATGAGAGACTCCGGGATTTTTCCGTTAATGAGCTCCACACACTCACCAGGGAAAAATCCAACCTGTAACAAGAGGAAGAAGAGACGTGCAATACTGAAGGCAGCGTTTCTCAGGCCTGAACTGTTCAAACATCACCTTTTCCTCATCACGTGCCTGCCGGATGCTCCGTAAGACAATCCAACCAAAAAATGGCCTGCTTAAAATTAATAATTATTCCAAATTGGCAGACAAATATCCATAAAACTGTGTATGGAGCGGGGAAAGGACAAGTATGCTATGCACCCCTAAATCTCAAGCGTGCCCGAAGGGAAAGACTTCATACAGAAGCTATATATTATGATAGATTGATGCAGCTAGATCTGAGTTGGCACAGCCTATGAACTTTCTGCTTGCTGACTGAGATGCAGCTGCCATCCCCAGCTCTGAGCTACCCAGCGTTCTGCAGCCAGCAGCAGCAGCAGCAAGCGCGCAGAGGCTCTGTTACCCTGCCTCATCTCAGCTGACAGGCAGCGACTTCCTAAAAGACGCTGACTTCACCTTCTGCATGGGTGCAAGCACAAGTGCTCAGAGACACTGAAACACGTGTCCTAGCTGCTGCATTTCCAAAGGTGCGGTTCAGTGGCCGTGACCTGATGCACGCTGTGAGGGCTCTTCTTTCTAAGTTAACTGAGGAGGCAGTTTCCTACAAAGACCAACTTTCAGCTCTGGCCTAAGCCCACAGCAAAAGGGAAAGTCCTCTGACACCAGCACAAGGAAACCATTTTCCATGTGGAGCCATGCTGTGCAGGCAGGGCAGCTCTAAGCTGAGATTCCTGCCTCGACCGAAGTTGCGCTCTCACGTCTGAAGCTTGGGCCTACCTGAAAGCCGTGCTTGCCTCTCCAGCGGGGGCTCAGCTCCTGAGGCGGCATCTCGATGACGCACACGAGGTCTCCCACCTGCAAGAGATTGCAACGTCAATCCCAGCTTCAGCACGGCTGGGAGGAAAGCGCAGCTCAAATGACTGCATTCTTCTGCACTGCCCAATATCGTCAAGCTTGAGAGCCATTGCACCAGTGCAGCTCTTCAGGCATTTGCAGTCGTACAACTGAACGTGCAAGTAGAAGAGTCACTCCAATACACAACATACAGAATTCAGCTGTTCAGTATGAAATGGTTCTCAGAAGCAGCAGGCTCTTTGCCAAAGGGAGAGCTCCAATTAAACCGCAGGCATAAGTCAGCCAAACAGATCCTGAACAGATCTGCACACTCCATACACTGCTCTGCCATTGCTCAGAGACAAGGCTACCACACCGGGCAGTAGCTCTTGGATCACAAGATTCCAATGCCAAATAGAGCCATAGTTTAGAGATGGCTGAACTCCTCCCTGCATCCAACCCAGTGCAAGTCTAATCTGGAGCCGCACCTTCTGAGCTTCACCTCACCAAACATTCGGAAGGTGTCTGAGAATATTCCTGATAGCTTCACACGTTATACTCTTCTGTACAGGACAACAAGGAACGCCCTTAACTGCTTACCTCCAAGGAGAGTTCACCCGGTGCCTGGGCAACGTATCTCTTAATAACGTGGGCAGCAGCAATAGCTGGGATATTAAGAGATGACTCCTCACGGACCAGCAGGGGCTTCCCGTTGTTCTCAGCCTGAAACACAGAGCACAGGCCATGGTGAGGAGCTGAGGGCAAACGAGGAGGATTTCAGGCTGAGGAGCATGTCAGCAGAGAAAGCTGCAGGAAGTGCACTCCGTCCTTATCATGGGCACACAAGAAGGAACGGCAAGGCTAAGAACATGCCCGCAGCAAGGAAAGAAAGCCTTGAAGGCAGCTTTTCAGTGACACCGATAGAGCCGCAAGGATTCGCTCTCTTGAAAAGCAGGAGAGCACATCTGCAGCTCACTCTGCTGGCTCAAATCAGGGAGCAAAGACCAATCAGAGCTCCACACTCTACCTCCATCCGTGTCATGCCAGGCCCACAGCTGATCTCGCTGCACGCGATGCCCATCACAGCAGGCACGACAAGCTGGAATGAAAAGAAACACGCTCATATTTTCTCTCTTCACACACCACACTATTGAGAGACTTCTTCAGAACTACCCTTGGCTATCCTCTGGCACAGGCGGGTGCTCTAGAAGCAACCACTCTGTTCACTCCGTTCAAATGGGACAGCCCATTAGGCAGCATTTGACCAAGCGGCTGTCCCTCTGCTAGCAGATGGGGACTGGCACAAAGCAGCAGATGCATTCGCCCAGGGCGCTCTGACAGCGCAGCAGCAGGGCAGTGAGAGGAATCATTGCTCCAGGTGCATCTGCTCCCCGGCCCCGGCTCCCAGCAGCCTCACCACCGGCACCTGCTGCAGCCCCGCACATCAAGGATTTCCTCTGCTTGCATCTCTGCTGTGCTCCCTACAGCTGCCGCGCACACTCTCACAGGCCAAGCGTGCGTGCTTGTGACCTTGGGTCACGCTGTGCAGCTCAGCACAAACTGGGCCTAGGACTCTTTGCCTAAGGGATTGCTTTCCTTCAGACCAGCTGGTCACAGCACCACACACAGCATCCTCCTGAGGGCGGAGCTGCAGGGGAAGGGAAAAAACCCACACGGGACCAGTGTCCCATCAACGCTGGGTGAGGCTGTGTTACCAAACATGGTGCGACACACTGCTGGTCAACCACGTGGGGGGACAAAGCGTGGCACGTACCTGGCAGGAGATCAGAACAAGGTAGACAATTCCTTGAACTCACAGCTGTTTCTTGTCACTTTGCTCTGTGCTTCCACGAGCGAAAGCTGCACCAAGGGAGCGGGTAGAGGAGAGAGAAGGAACAGGTCTGTGAGCTTGCACAATGGAGCAAAGATGACAAGGGAAAAGCCACGGGACAAATGCCATCTTTGTGGATCGCTTGGGAATGCAGGTACTGGCTGAAAGTTACGTCTGATGGACAAGAGTAAGCAGTACGAGCTGCTAGGAGCTCCACCAGCCAGCAGTTTTCAACAGCTCACTGCCCACCCGTCCATCCCACGCTGTCTCAGCTTACCTACAAGATGCTGCACAAGACACAAGGGTTGAAAACGAAGGCACTCAGTCGCTGCACAAGGGCAACAAGCGAGCTACTCACGCAGAGCTCAAGCGCTCCAATGAAGGGACGCAGCACGCACTGCTCCTCCCCTCATTCCAGCCTCTTGTGACATCACTAAGGGCCACCAGGCTGCTCCGCCATGACGACAGGGTGGGGAGGCAAGACCATGTCACAGGACCAGAAGATTCCAACACCGCACCCAACATTCTAGAATCAGCAAGCGGTTGGAATTCTACCTCAGCCCAATCCTGCACAAGCTGCCATGCGGTTGTCATGACCACAGCGCAGGACCCAGCGCTTGCTCCTGTGCAGCCTCGTACGGCTGGCCTCAGGCCGTCCCTCTGCAGGGCCTTCCTGCCCTCGGGCAGATGGACATTGCTTCCCAACAGCGTACCTCGCAGCGCAGGGCCTATGTACAATCCACACTGCAGTCCTATCGATCTGTATCAAGCTATCTATACCCAGACACACAGTCACCACTACCATCTTCTTTCTGAGTCTTGAGGTACACCATTCAGCGGTTTCATTGCCATCAAACAACCCCACTGACGGCACACTGCTGACACAACGTCCTTGCAAACACAGCAGCAACTCCTGGCACCGACAGCTCCGGGTACAACAAGCACAGGGCTCTGGGTTGCTTTGGATGCAGTTGCAGCATGGATCTGAGGGCTTTGTGGAAGGGGATATATTGCAAATGGCACCGACGTTTTCAGACCATTTCTCTTTCGGCATGGTCCCAGCACCTGGCATGCTGATCATCATCCTGAATATACATTTTGTCAATTTCTACAACTAATGAAATAGTTCCTTACCAAACGCAATCTGATCACTCTTCTGGCCATATTTTGTTCCAGCTACCGCTTCCTGCGGATGGCACCAATAGCGCTGCATCACCTACAGCTCTCTGCTCTTACAGTTCTGATGCTGTCTCGGCAGTCCTTGTGGCCTCACAACGCTCTCATGGTGAGCCATGCTGTGTCATTGCATCTGCGGGCAGGGATTCTCCTTGGACTGAGCAGAGTGCAGATGTCGCCTGAGAAATGAACTTAGGATCATTCAGGAAAAGCAAATGAGTTGAGTAATTAATTGAAGAAACTCATGTTCTAAAGGTACTTAGAAGGAGAGAGTATTTCCCAACAGAATGGGTTTAACTGTCTATTCCCTGTTTTGTTCGACAGGTCTGCTCTATGTATGCTTAGACTGACCTGAGAGGGCATGCTTCAGCACACCCCACAATTTCCAGTTTCCACATCGTCCAGGCAGCGCAAGTGCGGTGTACGTCTCCCTTGGCACAGACATCAAGCTTTTCTTCCTGTGCAATGAAAAACGTAGCGAGTAGGAAAGGACAAGTGAACGTGAAACTCATTTTGCACGCAGCGTTAGAATATAGCTAAGGTACCTCCACTGAGATGAGCAAGCTTCGTTTTGGGTTTGGGTTTAAAGGCTGCCAGCTTAGATAGAAACACTGCCATTCGGAAGGCTAAGAAACCTTGGCGCTTAAAATTCCTGGAGACTTGGAAAGTTCTCAAAGAAACCTTGAAAAGCTGCCTTGAAGTATTCCTGTTGAAAATTGCCGGGATGCCTCACCACATCATTCACCACGCCTATTCATACCATATACCATAGATTAAATCACTTTTAAAACCACGGATTGTAATTATCGGCAATACTTCCTCCCTGTGGATCTCAAGCCCTCGTGAGTGACCGCAATGGGGGGCGGCAAGGGGATTCTGGTGCCAAGCTGAACATCATTCCAGAAATCTGTTCTCCTGAACTAAAAATACGGGCTAAAGGAAACAAGGCGTGTATTCATCATTACACTGACTGCATCTGAGTGTGCTTTTGTGCACACGTGGATCTAGAGACATCGCTAAGAACTTAATTGGTCCACCCGATCCTTAAGCAACTCAGTAATTCAAGACACCTAACAAGGATGGAGGCTCAGTGGGCCATGGGCAAAGCAGGGAGAACAGAGGCAGGAAGCAGGAAGGAGTTCAAGAAGAGCAACTGACTTCACCTACCCAGGCTTCTGCATGGCCTCCCATACGGTCTCACATCACATCAAGGGAGAAGCACGGCGGAGAGCTCTGGTGGCTGCAGAAATCAAGGTTGCCCCTACGATGGTGCTTTATAACAACACGCCTTACTGCACATGAGACACAAAAGACAAGGTTAAGGTTAAAGACTCCACTCCCAGTGGATGTGGCTGTCTGCACAGACAACAGCTGCCTGCTGTCCAGCAGCCTGATGCTCACCCACCAAAGCACTCGCCCAGCAGATGCCTTTCATAGGAACACAAAGTTAGCAAGGTTGGAAAAGATCTCCAAGATCATCCAGTCCAACCGTCCACCTGCCACCACCATTTCCCACTAAGCCCCTTATGTCCCTCAGGACAACATCTAACATTTCTTGATTACCTGCAGGGACCGTAACTCTGTCACCAACCTGGGCAGCCCGCTCCAGCATTGGACCGCTCCTTGGAGAAGTGTTTCTTAACATCCAGCCTCAATCTCCCCTCGTGCAACTTGAGGCCGTTCCCTCCAGTCCTATCGCTACTTACATGGGAGAAGAGGATGACCCCCACCTCAACATAACCTCTCTTCAGCTCATTGTGCAGAGGGATAAGGTCTGCCCTGAGCCTCCTCTTCTCCAGGCTAAATAATCCCAGCTGCCTCAGCCGCGCCCCATAAGACTTGTGCTCTACACCCCTCACAGCTTCTCTGCTCCTCTCTGGACGCATTTCAGGCTTCCATGGTCCTTCTTGTAGTGAGGGACACAGAACTGAGCACAGCACTCAAGGTGAGGGCTCACCAGAGCTGAATACAGGGGATGATCACTCCCCTGCTCATGCTGGCTCCAGCCCTTTGCACTGCACTTCCAATCTCAACCATCCCTTCTGCGGTAGCGCTTGCATCCTCACTTAGGGCTGGAGCTCAAGAGCTGAACGCAACAGGAAGAACACAGCGTGCAACTGGAAGATGCGTCTCAAAGCCGACAAGAGTCACCTCTCTGACCTTGGGCACAACTCACCAACCGAGAGCCAGGTCTTGCCAGCTTGGCTCATCTGAGCACGCCAGAGGGGGCTGCACATCAGACCACAAGCATCCATTGCAATTGCAGCTCCACGTAGAGAAGAACAACGATTAACAGGTGTGAATGAATTCACTCACAAGCTGCACAAATTTGTTCTTCATTAAAAAACCCACATGGATTCCTACGCAAAAAAAGAACGGCAAGAGCTATGGAAGAGGTTCCTGGTCCTAAGCCTCATCCTCTTACCCCAATTTTCCTTGCCTCACCCTACCCCAACTCCTGGATGATGCCCACAGCCTTAACCTCAGACCTCAGATCCACAAGCTGAACATCAACCAATCTACCCCAGAGCAACAGAACGGCAGACACACAGCGGAAGACAACCAACCTGTAGAACCAGCTCTGTTGGGATTGGTCCAGATGTTTGTATGCTGCCTTCCATGGCCCAGACCAAGCTTGCTGAGCTGCTCTGTACAGGGGGAGAGCGGTGCAGATGCTACGTGCTGGCTGTGCACAGCATGCCTGTCACTTGATTTTCCTCTCTCCATCTTCCAATAGCAAGCAGCATTTCAAGTCTTTCCTCGTGAAAAAAATCACCTAGGTAAAAAAGAATTGGCAATCTTGATTTTAAGATTTCCTCATTTATACAACTTGATGTTTTAAAGCAGAAGCTCTCTCACCAGTGACCTACCTTAGACAAGCCCAACCTGCAGGGAAAAGTCATTCCTCTGGGTGCAAAGTCTGCAGACTCATTTCCAGGTGCAGCAGTCAGCCCAGTTCTCAGCACAGCTTCACCAACCACAGAAATCCAGTTGATGCCCGCTGTGCTTTTCTCTCTTCTGAAACGCTGCATTGCTGCAAGAAGCAAGGATTAAAATCACAGAATTGGGCTTGCAGGGGACCCCCAGAGATTACCGAGTCCAATCCCCTGCAAAACAGGCTCCCTACAGCAGGCCACACAGGTGGGTGTCCAGGCAGGTCTGGAATATCTCCAGACAAGGAGAAGCCACAGCCTCCCTGGGCAGCCTGTTCCAGCGCTCCATCATCCTTGCCGTGAAGATCCTTTGCATTTTGGTGCAGAACTTCCTGTGCTCCGGTTTATGGCCATTTCCCCTTCTCCTGTCCCCACAGATCGCTGACAAGACGTTGGCCATGCCCTTTGGACTCCCACACTTAACATATACGTAAGCATTAATCAGATCCTCCCTCAGTCTTCTCTCCTTATGGCTGAACAGACTCAGGTCCCCCACCCTTTCCACACTGGGGAGATGCTCCAGGCCCTTTATCATCTTCCTGTCCTTCTGCTGGACTCTCTCCAGGAGATCCCTGTCATTTTTGTATAGGGAGCCCAGAACTGCATGCAGTACTGCAGGTGAGGCCTGACCAGGGCAGAGCAGAGGGGGAGGATCACCTCCCTTGCTCAGCTGGCCAGGCTCCTTTTAATGCATCCTAGGATCCTATTGGTCTTCTTGGCCAGCAGGGCACACTGCTGGCTCATGGCCGACCTGTCGTCCACCAGGACACCCAGGTCCTTCTCTGCAGAGCTCCTCTCCAGCCGGTCACGTCCCAGCCTGTACTGATACTTGCGGCCATTCCTTCCCAGGTGCAAGGCTCAACACTTGCTTTTGTTCCACCTCATCTGGTTTGACACTGCCCAGCTCCCCAGCCTGAATGGCAGCTCAGGCTTTTGGTGTGCCAACCAAGAGTGAGCACGTTTGTTCTGCCCTGTGCTGAGCTCTCTCTCTCCACCCTGCACATTTGCCTTATTTTGTGCCTGGCTCAATTCAGAACACCCCAAATCTTTAACTTTTCACTCTGCTCAGCAACTTTCTTAGTGGAAGGAAAGCAGCTCTTTGACAAGAGGGCTGTAAGTTCAGTAAAGCCAGTACTACATACAGAAAATACTAAAAGCTTCTACAGCACAAACACAATCTCCCCTTCACAACCAGACCCAGCACCAACCCCCGGGAGCACCGCCGCTCACAGCTCTCCAGCCGCACTCTGCGCCGCTGATCACCACCACTGAGCTCAGCCAGTAAACCTGTTCTCAGCCCACCTCATCATCCACTCTTCTATCCCACACTTTCTCAGCTTCATTACCAGGATGTCACAGGAGACTGTAACAAAAACGTTGCTGAAGGCAAGGTAGACAACATCCACTGCAGTACCTGAAATGGTCCATTCCATCCCACTCGGGCTGAAGCTTTGACTCCTTCCAGGTGCATATTAGGAACAGTCTCCAACAGGGGATGAGTGCAGTGGAAATTTCAGAGGTGGAGTTTGAGCCAACGGTTCACATTCCTTAAGGGGTAACAGAGCAGCAGACAACCCGAGTACACAGTTCTGAAGAAACTTACCCTTGGTTTCAAGAGCGGGCATTCCCAAGTACAGCAACCCAAACTGCACTTCATGTGGTGATACTCGTAAGCCTTTTCTGTGAGTGGTTCGTATTCTGACAAGGGCTACAGGCAAACACTTTGTCCATGGTAATTTGGTCTCTAAAACCAATTTTGACAAGTGCTTTTTCAGCATCTGATTGATTCATTCTACTTTCCCTGAAGAAGGAGGGTGCCACGGAGTATGGAGCTGCCACTTCATTTCTGAAGTTCTCAATAGCTCCTGTAGGACACGTGAAGTAAAGAGGCTTCCCTTATCTGAGTCTCTATTCTGCACAATCCCACATCTAGGGATCGTGTCCAGATGTAGAGTCCTCAGTGCAGAAGAGACACAGACCTGTTGGATCACATCAGAGGATGGCCACAAAAAAAAAAAAAAAAAAAAAAAAAAAAAAAAAAAAAAAACCAAGGGATCAAACAGCTCTCCTCCAAGGACAGGCTGAGAGAGCTGGGGCTGTTCAGCACGAAGAAGCAAGGGCCCCGAGGTGACCTGGTAACAGCCGTTCAATACTTAAATTGGAACAAAAGGAAAGAACAAGGGAAAAAACAGGTTAGATATAAGGAAAATATCTTCCACAGTAAGGGTGGTGAGGCAGTAGAACAGGTTGCCCAGAGATGTGCTGGATGCCCTGTCTCTTCCAAGGTGAGGTTGGATCGGGCTCTGTTCCTTGTGGGGAGTCAGACTAGATCATCACAAATGGTCCCTTCTGACTCCAAGCAGTCTATGGTGTGAGATGGTCTGTCTCTATGGTATGAGACAGCTGATGCCATGAGGAACGGCAACACAAAGGATGTCGATGGCCTGATGAGCAATCAGGGCAGGCAGGGAGGCCTGAGTGCTCAGCAGCTCTGGGGACACTCACCAAGCAGTCCAACCAGGAAGATCCACATCAGCCACAGAGCCTGTCCATGGCAGTCCCAGTATTCAGCTGTATAATCAATGGATATCAAGATGCTACAATCACAATATAATCAAGAGAGTTAGGCAAAGTGGACAATGATAACAACAGAGAATAAATGAAAGGCTTACCCTTATGCTGGGCTCACCTACAAAACACCAGTAGAGATGATCTCCAGAAGAGAACCTTCCCCTCTGGTAGCCAGCTCTTAAACAGGTCTAGGAGGGCTGTAGCCTGGCTCCACCCCTTCCGGCAGCACAGGTGAATTGCCTTCA